GAATCGAAGTTTTCGTAATGTTTTACCCCAATTAATGATAAATTTCCTTCATAAGATTTTATTCATATAATAATTTTATTATTTGCTACGATAAGGCCAATAACAAATTTTTGTTTAAAGCACTCGATCAATTCCTATGACTTATGTAAGAAATTATGTTAGCATGCATGTTTTTATGGATTTATGTTTGAATCAATTTTGGATTCTACTTTTTATCACTCTGTCATGGTATAATGGTTAAGAACGTGGACTAGCACGGTTCGATTCTAACCTCGGCCAGCTCGATATCAAGTAGTATGATATCAAATTACCAATCGAGTTAATCTCTAATATGAACTCAACTGAAAATAGCCTTTCGTGGGCATTGCTGCAACACATATATCGCCAACAAAAAAAGTGGTTGATCGATGGGTTTCTCTATGTAATATGCAATTCTTCTGATTGTTGTTACAAAACCATTTTTTGTCATGCCTCGAAGAACTTTTAGTCACAATATAAAAAGGCAATTGGTTTTCGAAAAAACTGGTATGGAATTACAGAATCAAACTGCATAAAAATAGTTGTTTGATGGCCAAAAATAAATTTGACACATAGATTTCAATTACAAGATTTCAATTTATTTTTCAGTTATTTCGAATATTATTCTAATAAATTTACGTTGGAATAAAAGTTAATAAGTGGAAAAAATATTTTTTGGCATGTATTTTACTTGTTTTAAAATCGGCAAATGTTTAATAAGCAATTATTCTAAATTTATTTATCGAAAAGAGATCTACTACTTATTAGAAATCTGATTTAATGCATGTTTATTTATGAAGTAGTTTTTACGAAAAAACAAATCTATTTGATAGAAATATTGTAATAATTAAGGACAAATATAAGGTCAAAAAAATATTTAGGAATTAGTGATGACTAAAAATAGATATTTTTCCAGCATAGATTTTTTGTGTATAATATCCAAATATTTCTGAAAAAATATTTGTGGTATAAAAAGCTGAATGTATTATGTTGTTTTTTAAGTCAAAGAAAGATTTAATTATATATACTCAGGTGCATAAACATCACACGTGAAGTGTTAATATGTAAAAAAGTCTAATTGCTTTTACGGTGTAATACTTGTCGTTTTAAATGTGGGGTCAAAAAGTAATTTCTACAAATTCTACTTTTCATCTAGACATAAATTATCTTATTTGTATGGGCAAAATATATTGCTGTACTTCAGTGTCATAATTGATTTGCAAATTTTCAATGAGGCGTTTCTTGAGGTCAAAGATGCGCGACGTTCTGAAAGATTGATTGAAGCTGACAAAGGGCAAACAGATGACAAACAATTACAGATTTTATTTTTATTTTTAATTAATATTGATAAAAGGTTAAATTTAATGAATTCAACAAATCATTGCTGTTTCCACCGTCCGAAATTATTTTCGGAAAATGCCAATATTTCATTGCGTCGTCCAATTATTAGAAAGGGTTGCCAATTGAAGTAGTTGGATTATGTTGTCTGCGAATCTTTTGAAAATTAATTACTCTCAACAATTTCTTGTGAGATCATATATTTTCGTAGGGTAAGTTTATAAAATAGTGCAATTTTTTCCATATATTCACATTTAAGAGGTTTCTGAACATTTTTGTACACCTCAAAAAAAATTGATATATGTGTGTGTATGTTTGTGTGGATACAATTTTTTGTCGACGTTTTCAACCAATTTGAATAATTCAGAAAGCAATCGATTTTTATTGATAGGGACATGTGCTGATTAGTTTTTGGGAAAAGTCGGTCTAGCAGTTTTCTAGATACGAAGCCAAAGAGTGCAGAAAATGGAAATTAAGTTTTTAAGAAAACAGGGCATCCGATTTTCTTTCGACATTCTCATCCGACATTCAATTCGTAATGATGAGAAGAAGTGATGAGTTTTTAGAAGTAATGATCTAAAAGTGTAAAAAATAACAGTTTTGAGAGAACAAAGGATCCGATTCGAATGATTCAAAAAACATTGTGCTTATGAAGAACCGATTAATTTTGAGAAAAGCCAAGAAAAAAAGTTATTTCAAAATTTCGCCATTTTTTTTTAATTTGAATATCAAAAATGATTTAGATTTTAATTTTAATTCTAAAATTAAAAAGATAAATCCTTCATTCTAACTCCACTTGATCAAGTTTTATTTATTTACTTTTCATGTAAACATATATGAAAGTTGTGGACCAATTTATAAGCTCTTATATTTTGTAAAATAGACTACACCCACAGTTTATGTTAGTTTGTCTTATGAATTTCAATTTCCCATTATCTTATTGGCGAATATAGGAAAATTGGACAAAATGTGAAACTATTTTAAACACAAATAACAAATTTATAAATATGGAACTAGTTGCTTTCCAATATGCAACTTATTAATGATCAAATCACAAAATTAGACACCAGTCCTTATGTCGATTAAGCTAATACTATTTAGAAGATCATGAAAGACATGCAGATGGTGATTTTTTTCAAGACTTTTATCATTTTATTAAATAATCATTGTAAAAAGGAAAATTTATGAATATCATATTTGAATAAAGAATAACACAAAGTTTATTTCACGGTCTAAAATTTGAAGCATCAAGAAGAAAAACATATGTATGATGATATGAATTCAATCCAAGATTGAAATGATCTAATGATGAGAGCATGAATTATTTTCCCTATGTATTGCGCAGCTATAATTTCACATTGATTTTCTGTTTACAGTTGTTTTTTAGTTGAATATTGAAGAGCAATAAACCCAGTTTGTGGACAATGATAAATAAAACAATAAAAATATTTAATGGCAATTACAGAAACATACGTTTTATAAATAAACATGAGCAGATAAAATGTTATACAAGCTGATGTGATTTAGAGTATCGGGTTCGTAGGAATCATATTACAAATTAATAACTTTAGCCGATTCACTTATGCACACAGGTCAAATGATTAAAAAAATCCGGTATTATTCGGAGTTGAAACAAATTTAGTAATTGATAATGTAAATAATCTAAATATGGGTCAAATTTTGTCAATAATTCTTAATTTGCTGACGGTCACAGAAGTGTAGAACTACGAAAGCAGAGTATATGAGCTAAATCATTTACTCAAATATTAGGCACCATTTTGTAAGAAAAAATTGTCATTTCACAACATACGTAATAGAGTTTCGGAAAAGAATGAATGACAAATATGTAAAAGTGTTTACGTTGTATTAAAAATTAATAAAGTGATAGTAAATTTTTTCACATGAGAATATTTTGCAAAAAAAATAATAATTTAACGATTACCAAAGACTGCTATTAAAATAATTAAAAAATAGCCAACTGAAGTGTTCGGAATTTCAAGACGTGCCGAAAATTGCGTTTCAAATTTAGTTAAGAATATGGGTAAAAATTGTGTTATGATAGAAAATTATGCAGTGCAAAAATGTTCTAAATATTTGTGTCTATCATTACACCCAAAAAAAATATGATTCAATGATAGGTTCATAGTCATCGGAATAAAAATCATAAAATGTTTGTTATACATCACATAATTAATTAGTATTATTACTTTTATTAATTAATAATGGAAAAATATAAAATAATTATTTTTTCAAATTATGTGAGGAAAGAACATAAAAAGCTATCACACTTTGCCATATTAATTTAGAATTAATTTACATCAACGTAATATTTTATATTTACATTTTCTAGTTTATATATTTTGGTTAAAAAGATAAAATACGATATTTGAATTTTCATATATAGCATTATATTTCAAAATTTCAATATACTGCAATTAATTTGGTACTATTTTAATCCTACTAATTATGGGTAAATCGTTTTGTATACATTGACGCACATATTATTTAAAGCTCAAATTTAAGCTCTATGTAATAGAAAAGTTTGTATCTTTTGTTAATGCTCTAAAATTGCATTAGTCAAATTTATATATATATATATATATATATATATATATATATATATGCATTTCAATGTTGGATTGAAATGTTAAATAAAATTTAAAATGTTATAAATTTGAAATGTTTTCGAAATAAAAATTGAATTTTTAATAGATTAAAAAATATAGTCATCATATAAATGTTTATTTACAGGACTCATCATAGGTAATACTGCATTACCCAAAATTTTTACCTTGCTTTATATAAAAATATAATTATATAAATTGATGTTCATCATTAAACTTTAATTCATTCATTCTTGCATATATATATATATATATATATATATATATATATATATATATTAGGGTGGTTCTTAATATGGACATTTTAGAATTTTCTTGCTCCCAATGGCTCAAATGGTTCCAAATTAATAAAAAAACAATTCTCTGAAAGTTTTAGCTCTTAATATTGTCTTTTAGATAGAGCGCAATTCAATCAAAGTTTTGTATGAAAATAGCACGAAAAAATTAAAAAAAAATTGTAGAGCGTCGAATTTTCAATAAATATGACACAAATTTTCACTTTTAATTCATTTGTCGCTAAAATAAATAACCTAAAATTTTTTTTTTAATTTTCAAAATTTTTTTGATGCTATTTCCATACGAAGTTTGGATATATAATAATAATAATAATAAATGGTAGTCTATCCAAAGGCAGGTCTATGGCCTGAGAGCACCACAAATAAATGATTCCCTTTCCCTTTTTTACATACACTTTTTTATATGTATAAGTTTATTATATAGATATTATTATTATTAATATTAAACAACTTATTTAAAATATTTTTATAGCATTTGTGTCAATAAACACCACTTACTCACTTCAATTTTTTAATTTAAGACTTTCAAACTTAAACATTTTATTAGAAAAATCATCTATGCATGATATTAATTTTGGTTCAGATATGTTTTGTATAGAATATCTCATGAAACGACTAAAACAAATTATTAATAAATACATTGATGTCTATAATAAAACAATTCCAAAACTTAAAGCAATATTTTCATTTGTTTATCATTTCAAGAATCTAATATTTATTTTACCTTGCATTGTCGAAGCACAGCACAGCCAGAAAAGTGCCCATTTGGCAGTGGTAAACCTCTGGAGGGCCGCAGGTCTAAAATAGCCCCAACCGCACCGCAATTTGTTGTCATTTTTTGTAAGGTCTCTGGAGTCATTAGCCTCGACGGCTACGGGTCCTTCTCCAGGACTACGCAAAGGTGCAAAACTATCCGTAGACATTTTTAATGGAACTAGTTTTTAGGTATTAAATTTACAAACACTGATATTTCATCTGAGAACTGACAGTCTTGATGTTTGTTTTTATCATTGTTTGTTCAGGATCCGAGTTATCAGATTAAAATCGTAGAATTGACTTCGTACATTACTCGGTTCCGGTATATCATTCAATATTTGCAGATCAAACGCAGTCTCTTCTATGTGACTTGTTTACGAGTTTTTGTGGAAGTTAAAACACGATTTAGTGTGTCTTGTTGGAGCACTATCACAATATTTGATATTATTTCACGATGGATGTCACGATTTCCAAATGTTCCGGTAATGATATAAATTGAAGCTGAGTAAATTTATAAAATCAGTCTTGCGTTTGGAATCAATTAATCAAGTCACAGAATTTTAAATGCAATTTATTCTTATATCACTCTTCATGCGCACTGTTTAAAAACTAGTTTCGAAGTCTGCTTTCTTTTTGTTCAGGACACAATTAAAACACTAAAATCACATATATTATTATTTATCAATTTATCTAAAATGATGTAAGTATGTATAAATAGATTAAAATAGTATGTTTTGTACACGATGTGCACGTTTCCTGAAGGGATTCGATTTTGTATGTCTTCGACCGTTCGCTACAACGGTCGGTTTATGAATGAGCAGCCCGCGTGGAATATCTTTCGATATATACGACATCTATACATGACGCCCGTAGGTTTTAAGCTCGTTGCATTTTCTCGCAGATGGAAAATTCAATTTAATTGATAAAACCTGAATATTTTATTATAACAGTAGCTACTACCGATTTAAATTTTTTTCAATTAAAGTTCAATTTTGCCTTAATTAATTTAAATTTTTAACAAATAACATAGATTGTAATCGACTTTGATATACACCTATCCTCCATTTTACACAATATTTGTTTTACTCGTTTTCGATCTTACACGGTTTTTGAAAATATTTTTTCCAACAAAATTTATTAAGCATTTACGAATTTATTAACTTCCCGTAAAAAAAAGAAAATTTTTCCACTTCAAGTTTTGGACGTTTTTAAACATTTCGGCATACTCGGAAAAATTTATGTGTGTGTATGTTTTGTGTGTCCGCATTTTTTCGTCCACGTTTTCGGATCAACCGATTTGAATGGTTCAAAAAACATTCGATTGTTATTGATAGGGAGATGTGCTGATTAGTTTTTGGCAAAGGCAGGCCCAGTTGTTTCGAAAATACGGAGCAAAGAGTGCAGAAAAAATAATATAAAATATAAATGTTAAAGAGTTTTTGAGAGAACGAAGTATCCGATTTGAATGATCCAAAAACATTCTATTTGTAATGATTAGGAGAAGTGGTGATTAGTTTTTGGTAAAGGCAAATTTGAAGACACAGAACTCAATATACAAAAAATTGCAGTTTCTGAAAGAACTAAGCATCCGATTTGAATGATTCAGAAAAATTTCTGCTTATGTTGACAATTGCTTTTGGAAAAAAATTATTTTGATTTTTTTTTCAAAAATTTTTTTGTATACCAAAAATAATTCAGATTTTCTGGCTAAAGTTCTGAAGCTCACTGATATACTTTAAATAAATAACTTTGTAATTCAGTTTATATAATTCCTATAAATATTATATTTCATTACGGTACGGAAAGTTCCAGCAACTTGCCTTAAGGCACGATACAGCACTAATTATTGTTTTATTGGCAAAATGCAACACTACAAAATGTGTTACAGTTACGAATTCTCAGTAGTTTATGTCTCCTCCCCGTTTTATAATCAAAACTAATTTTTTTGTGTGTATAAGCTAGTTTGAAATACCAAAACAAAGTGTTAATAATTGTTTTTAAACTTTTTTTAAATTAGTGTTTATATATAATTGATAGCGTAAATTTATTCAAGGTGAGCAAATAACAGAATTATTTTATACAAAATCAATAATTTATGAAAAATTGCATAGGAAAAGATAATGGTTAATGGATAATGGATAATCAATGATACATAACTAGTAGGGAGTAATTATAAAAAAATATAGTCTATCTGATATCGATGAAAACGAACCTTGCAGCAAAGATCGTACGTGAGAGGGTTTATTTAATTTAATTTATTATATGTTTTTATTATTATAAATATTAAAAATTATTTTTTATCAAATTTATTTTTTAGTCAGTGTGTTTGATATCAATCTGACGAAACGGGGCTACATAAAAAATACATAAAAACATATTTATGCATTTATTTTTTCTTATATTATTTCAGCATGTTTGGTTTATTTTCAAAATATTTTTCCACGGGTTGGAAACCACGACTTTCAAGACATCATGCAGTGTCTCTTCAAAATCATAAAAAAACAACAATCAATTACGAAGAAATGGTCCGGTCAGTTTTCACCAAAAACTCATCAGCACAATCTCTAACTGATGTCTCTTTAAATTTTCAAAATCGGTAAGGTGATTTGCAAAAACGTGAAATTCTTTGGAACTTTTCATTTTTAGTTAATTTTTGCAAAAAATGTGACCAACGCGAATCCTCATCGAATGGCTTTAAAATGTTTGAAATCGGTGCTGCCGTTTAGTTTACGAAAGTTCGAATTTAGGCTCGCGTATGCAAATGTATTCTCTCAAAGTAATTAATTACATCGATGTTCACATTTCGATATGTATTTCACTGATTGGTATTATAATATTCGTTGACGTTTTGGAAAAATGAGTTTTAGCTAATAAAAAGAAATGCACGTTTTTGTCAAAAACTATTTTTCTATCATGCATACGGCATTATCATAATATTTCAGATTTTCTGTATATGTAAGTTTTGGTCTACTATCTCCAATGTCTATACTTTATAAAAAAATATACGTCCAAAAATCCAGAAAAATAATAAAAACCTAATATAATAGCATCTTACCTTGCCTCTATAGTTCTATTCTGTATTATAAATACGATTA